AAAGTATAGGGTCTGGTGGATTCAGAAATAAATGAGCCTCAGTCATTTCACGTAGTTATTGCATAGAAGGCATCGTTTATTTGTTTAATCTTACTTCAGTGGCATGTATCAATAAGGAATCAACACATTTGACAATCGTACATCTCAGAGATACTATGAAATTGCCCCATAATATGCTAAGAATAAGGGGAATGCACAGGATTCAAAAGCAAGTTGTCAGTCCCACACACTAATTTTGTGTTTCCTGACTTTTTGAAAGGTTTCAGCAAAGGTGAAAAAGTGAAAATGTTAGTCTCAGTTCAGTTCAGTTCAGTCGCTCAGTCGTGTCTGACTCTTTGTGACCCCATGAATCGCAGCACGCTAGGCCTCCCTGTCCATCACAAACTCCCGGAGTTTACTCAAACTCATGTCCATCGAGGCAGTGATGCCATCCAGCCATCTCATCCTCTGTCATCCCCTTCTCCTCCTGTCCCCAATCCCTCCCAGCATCAGGGTCTTTTCCAATGAGTCAACTCTTCGCATGAAGTGGCCAAAGTATTGGAGTTTCAGCTTCAGCGTCAGTCCGTCCAATGAACACCCAGGGCTGATCTCCTTTAGGATGGACTGGTTGGATCTCCTTGCAGTCCAAGGGACTCTCAAGAGTCTTCTCCAAACCACAGTTCAAAAGCATCAATTTTTCAGCACTCAGCTTTCTTCACAGTCCAATTCTCACATCCATATATGACTACTCAGTCATGTCCAACTGTAGCCTCTGTCCATGGAATTCTCCAGGCAAGGAAACAGGAGTGAGTTGCCACTCCCTTCTCTAGGGGATCTTCCCATCCCAAGGATTGAACCCAGGTCTCCTCCACTGAAGGCAGATTCTTTACAGTCTGAGTCACTAGGGAAGACAAAGGTACCAAGGTCTAATCAGAGACACGTCTGAGGTGTATTTATTAATGTTTTCATTTTCCTGAGTAAAGATGAACAAGACTCTGACTTTATATTTCCTTTTGTGATTGAGTAGGTGGATTATATATGTGGATGAGGAAGTGATAGGTTAAAATCCAGGAGCAGGATAAGCAGGTAAATCTGCCTTGAAGTGTCTGGGTTCTTTATCTCAATGAGTTTGCTGGTGATCTCACCCACCCCTCCTTCCTATGAGCGATGCAGCAAGTGCAGCCTTTGTGTCCTCTGGAAAATTCCAAAGGGAAGGGTGTGGTAAGTAGGAAGTCTCTGCTAGGACTGCCCAGTCATGTCACTCTGGGTTTGCAGGGGGCACTGTCCAGGTGCCCTTTGTCTGGAGGAAATCTGCCCAGATTCACCGGCTTCAAATCTGGCTTCAACCCTTTCTAACTCATGACCTGGTACAAGTTACAGAAAATGCTGCGAGCCTTTCCTTTTCTTAAAGTGCTAATGAGGGCTTCTCTGATGGTCCAGTGGTTAAGAATCCACCTGCCAATGCAGGGGACATGGGTTTGATTTCTGTTCCAAGATCTTACATGCCCTGGGGCAAGTAAGCCCTTCTGCCACAACTACTGAGTCCATGCTCCTCGAGCCCATGCTCCATGAGAGAAGCCACAGCAATGAGAAGCCTGAGCACTGCAACTAGAGAATAGCCCCCTCTTTCTGCAACTAGAGAAAGTCTGTGTGCAGCAATGAAGACCCAGCACAGCTAAAAAAAAGTATTAATAATGTGTCTGTGGAGGGCTTGTGCAGATGAAATCAAGTAACATACATAAAACACAGACCTCAGTGCCTGGCACTGGGGATGACCTCAGCAACAGTACATGATATTATGGTTAATGTTATCTTCCTTATCATCCTCATCACTGCTTTCAGGATCATTAGAACTGCTTATGCGAAGTTTACCGAAACCCATGTGCTGCTATAGTTGGAGAAATGCCAGCCAGAATCAGAACCAATGAGGATAGCAGTAGACCTCTGAATGAGAGTTCTCACAACCTAATCAGAAGCAAGAACTTAAACTTCATAGGGCTCTGATCAAAAATCTTTTATATCAGTGCCCTCTCATCTTTCCATCTCTATTATCATGTTTGTTCCTCCTGAACAGAAAATATTGCTCCCAGTGGTCCCTCCTTCAACCACTCTCTCCTCCTCAACACTTACTGGCCTGGGCTGCATCTCTGCTGGAGCATGACCAAGGAGCATAGACTCATGACCCCTCTCCTGCCTGGTGTGTGATGAAGTCTCAGGGTCCCTTTTCAGGATGGGCAGGAAGACAGACTCAGGTGGGGAATGCACAATGCAGGTGCTTCCAAATGGAGGAGACACAGGTATAGATCCACACACTTAGAACTGGCAAACTAATGTGAAGATGGCACCAGGCAATTATTTACAATGATATGACCTAGGGCTTAATGCACAAAGAGTATAATTAGCCAACTGGTCCATGTTGTCCCAATCTCTGGAGACTTTTTAATATTAATGGAAAAGCAAAAAAGAAGGAAAAGTGAATATCCTTAGGAGGGTGTGGGACCCTCTTTCCTCAGGTGGAAGTCCACTTTTACTTCTTCCTTCCAACCTGCAAGATTTTAACATAAAATTCAGGCTTTTGTTTTTTTAACCACTTTAACATGAAATTTTATCTGTAAATCCATTGTATTTCATGTGAAATCTATGCAGCATTAGGTCTACACCAAGGATATAATACCTTTTCCATTTTCTCAGTTATTATTTGTCTCTAAGTATAACTTGGGAGTTCCTTTGTAACTCAGTCATTAAAAAATCTGCCTACAATGCAGGAGACTGGGATGTGATTTCTGGGTCAGAAAGATCCCGTGGAGAAGGAAATGGCATCCTACTCCAGTATTCTTGCCTGGAAATCCCATGGACAGAGGAACCTGGCAGGCTACAATCCATAGGGTTGCAAAGAGTTGGACATGACTTAGCAACTAAGCCACCACCAAGGATAACTTATTTTCTTTTCCTTAGTCTTTGCTTTGGTTGGCATTTTATAGGATGGAGATTTACATGTTTTTATTATTTGCTTATCTGAATATGTCATCAGCTCTAAGTTTTTGCTCCTATTGTATACATTGGCATATTAGAAAACTATTGATTTTTACACATTTTTTGGTAACTAGTATTTAATTAAATGGCTTCCTGGGTGGTGCAGTGGTAAGGAATTCTCTTGGCAATGCAGGAAATGCAGGAGATATGGATTTGAACTCTGGGTTGGGAAGAACCCATGGAGAAGGAAATGGCAACTCACTCCAGTATCCTTGCCTAGAAAATCCCAAGGACTGAGGAGCCTGTGAAAGTGAAAAGTGGAAGTTGCTCAGTCATGTCCAATTCTTTGTGACTCCAAGGAATTCTCCAGGCCAGAATATTGGAGTGGGCAGCCTTTCCCTTCTCCAAGGATCTTCCCAACCCAGGGATCAAATCCAGGTCTCCCACATTGCAGGCAGATTCTTTACCAGCTGAACCACAAGGGAAGCCCAAGAATACTGGAGTGGGTAGCCTATCCCTTCTCTAGCCCATGGGCTTGCAAAGAGCCAGACACAACTGAGTAATGGGCATGCATGAATGAATGTAAGAACACAAGATTGTAAACAGAGCAGTGATTTTAAGAGCCCCAGCCCAAAGCAGGTGCAGAAATGTGAGTTTGGAGCAGAGACAGTAGCTTCATAACCAGCACTTACACCCGACTGTATAGTGTAGAGAGAGACTATATGTGAAGAATCGATATCAGAAAGGGGAAATTTGCCTGTTGCCATGGTAAGCTCTTCATATCTTCCCACCTTGAGTTCTGATCATTGTCCAAGAGCTGTTAGGATTCAAGGTGTACAAGTCACCTTGGAATTCAAGATATGACTGAGATCAGAAGTTTTAAACCTTGTCCACACTGGATCCCTTTAAGTGCTTTTAAAAATCCTCAGGACACATTCAACTATAAAGCAGTCTCTGGATGTGAGACCCAGTTGTCAGTGGTTTTTTTTTTTTAAATTTTTTATCTCAGTTTTATTTATTTATTTACTTTACAATATTGTATTGGTTTTGCCATACACCGACATGAATCTGCCATGGGTGTACATGTGTTCCCCATCCTGAACCCCCCTCCCACCTCCCTCCCCATTCCATCCCTCGGGGCTGGTGTCAATGTTTTTAAACTTCTGATGATTTCAATAATAACCAAGATTGATGTCACATCTAGCCTGTGTAAATAGACCTCAAACTTGAGAAAATTTTATGGAAAATACATCAGAGCTGTGAAAAAAGATGTGAAATTTAAATATATAGAAAGAGTTATTCATCTTTTCAGGATCCTTTTACCACAGATAATAAAAAATAGAATCACCATAGATGAAAACTACTTAATCATGCCATGAATAAGATGGACAAAGGATCCTAGAAGCCTCCCCCAGTCCCATTGAAACAATACCAAAAGAAGAAACACTCAGTTGTTCAGCAAGGAGAGGAATCAAGGCCATGAGAGCTACAAAAATGATGAGATGAGAGAGGTAGAATTTCAGGTCAACATGCTTAGTTTTACTGCATTTTCCAGCCTACACTCCAAGTAGGTGGCACAGGGACTGAGGTTAGATTATTTTTCTGAGAAACCTCCACATGGCCCTTTTGATGTCTTGGTTCCTCAGGCTGTAGATGAAGGGGTTCAGCATGGGGGTGACCACAGTGTACACCACAGAGGCCACTGCATCCTTCCTGGGGGATTGTGAGATGGCTGAACTGAGGCACACACCAAGACCTGTTCCATAAAATAAGCAAACAACTGCCAGGTGAGAGCCACAGGTGGAGAAGGCTTTGTATTTCCTACCTGATGAGTGAACTCTCAGAATGGAGGAAAGAATTTTACAGTAAGAGAAAAAGATTCCAGAGAAAGGAATAAAACCAAAAATGGCACCAACAAAATACATGACTATATTATTTGTGAGCATGTCAGAACAGGTAAAGTTGAGCAGTTGAGAAGGGTCACAGAAGAAATTAGATATTTTCACATCCTTGAAGCAGGTAAGTTGTAACACAATCAAATTCTGCACTTGGGAGTTCAAAAGGCTAACAAAAAAAGACACTGAAATTAATTTGCAACAGGTGCATGGGTTCATGATGACCTGGTAGTGCAGTGGGTGACAGATGGCCACAAACCTGTCATAGGCCATCACAGACAGAAGCATACAATCCATCCCTCCAAAGAGGATAAAAATGGACATCTGTGTCAGGCAGCCTGCATAGGAGATGACTCTGCTGTGAGACTGGATGTTCACCATCATCTTGGGGACCGTGGTGGAGATGAAACCTATATCCACAAAGGATAGGTTGGAGAGGAAGAAGTACATGGGGGTGTGAAGGTGGGGATCAGAGGAGACTGCCAGAATGATGAGCAGGTTTCCCAGCACGGTGACCAGGTACATGGATAGGAAGAGTCCAAAGAGGAAAGGCTGAAGTTCTGGATCATCTGAAAGACCCATGAGGAAGAATTCCGATACATTTCTTAGGTGTTGTGGCTCTATGTAGATTGGGCACCTTTTAAAAAAGAAAAGAATTAGTGGAAAAAAGGAAATAATTACACTTGATCTTAGCCAAAAGGCTGAGAAGTGATAAAAAGGAAATAATTATATGGTCATGCAGTACCTTGTCCATATTTTGGATTCTAGGAATTCATTTCTAAGATCATTCACCCCAGGGCCTTCAGCAATATATCTCAGTGTGACAAGTTCTATCTGCTCAGAACTGTTCCTTCATTGCTTTCTCCTTCTCCACCTCTCTCTACACACAATTATTTTGTAGGTCCTGGACTGAAGGGTAAAAGAGGTGCAAGAATATTGGAGATACTAAATCCATGATCTCAGTAAAAAATAATCTTCTCTTTAGAAAAAATCTAGAATGAAAACTGCCCCTCTAAGAAAAAGTAATATATGTATAATTATGGCTGATTCCAATTGTTGTATGGCAGAAACCAACACAACATTGTAAAACAATTTTCCTCTAATTAAAAAAGTTTAAAAAGAAAAATATTCAAATGGGAAGAAAGTGAGGCATAGTTATATAAATCTTATTTTACTTTATACAGTCTATAAATTTCCTTTATTTAGAATGTTTGTAAGCACTCTATGAAACATAGGACTGTGTTACCTGAATTCTAAATTTAAGATCAAAGTCAGAAAACATTTCTATGTCATAGTAATCTTCATAATTTTTATCATTCTTTGATTTCCTAAATTTTCAGTTTCAAATAATAAGTATTTACTAAAAAATGAGAGTTGTCCTTTAATTAATTAATTAATTTGAGAGTTGTCTTTTAAAAGTCATTAAGTATATACTTCATACCATTGGTTTTGCTGGAATCAAACTATAAGAAGTATGGTTTCCTTAAGTGTACATAATGAAACATTGCTGAGGACTGCAAAAAAGATGTTAGTACACGTGAACGTGAAACTTGCTCAGTCGTGTCTGACTCTTTGCGAACCCATGAACTATACAGCCCATGGAATTCTCCAGGCCAGAATACTGGAGTGGGTAGCCTTTCCCTTCTCCAGCAGATCTTCCCAACCCAGGGATTGAACCCAGGTCTTCCATATTGCAGGTGGATTCTTTACCAGCTGAGCTACAAGGGAAGCCCAAGAACATTGGAGTGGGTAGCCTATCCCTCCTCCAGGGGATCTTCCCAACCCAGGAATCAAACTGGGGTCTCCTGCATTGCAGGTGAATTCTTTACCAACTGAGCTATCAGGGAAGCCTCAGAGCTCTGTTAATGTTTAAACAATAATAAGATTTTGAAACATTTGATTTTTTTTAAGGTGAGGTTATTTGTGTCAACCCAATATGCACAATCTTGGTGCTTCCCTGGTGGCTCAGCTGGTAAAGAATCCTCCTGCAATATGGGAGACCTGGGTTTGATCCCCCAACTCTTTTGTGACCCCATGGACAATAGCCTGCCAGGATCCTCTCTCCAGGGGATTTTTCCAGGCAAGAATTCCAGAGTGGGGAGCCATTTCCTTCTCCAGGGGAACCTCCTGCCCCAGGGATGGAACCCACATCTCTTGCATGGGCAGGAAGATTCTTTACCAACGGAGCCACCAGTAAAGTCCCCATAAATGCGTGGATAGATAGAGATACAGACATATAGATGGCAGGTTAGGTATAGGCAAGTAGATAGATAGATATACAGATAGGTAGATGGTGTTTTAGTTGCTAAGTCATGTCTTACTCTTTCTGACCCCATGGACTGTAGCCAGCCAGGCTCCTCTGTCCACGGGGATTCTCCAGGCAAGAATACTGGAGTGTGTTGTATGGCAATGTTTAAGTTCATCCATGTTGCTGTAAATGGCATTATTTCATTATTTTTTTATGGCTGACTAATGGGAAATTAGTCATACCAAGTGAAGTAAGTCAGACAGAGAAACACAAGATATCATATGATACCAGTTATATGAGTAATGCTAAGAAAATGGTATGAATGATCTTCTTTTCTTTTTTTTTGAATGATCTTATTTTCAAGAGACATGGAGTCACAGACGAAGAAAACAAACTTATGGCTACCAAAGGGGAAAGGGGGGCAGGAATAACCTAGGAGCCTGGGATTGACATATACACACTACTATACATAAAATGACCCAGATGTGATCCCTGGGTCGGGAAGATCCCCTGGAGGAGGGCTTGGCAACTCACTCCAGTGTACTTGCCTGGAAAATGCCACAGACAGAAGAGCCTGGCGGGCTACAGTCCATGGACTCTCAAAGAGTCAGACATGACTGAGCGACTAACACATACATCAAATAAATAATTAATAAAGGACCTACTGTAGAGAACAAGGGATTCCACTCAATATTCTGTAATAACCTCTATGGGAAACAATCTAAAAAGAGTGTAGATGTAAAAACATATGTATATGTATAACTATTTCACTTTGCTGTACACCTGAAATGAACACAACATAGTAAATCAACTATTCTTAATAAAAAATTTTCAAAAAATTAGCATTATTAAAATATATATTTAACATATGTTAAAATGCAATAACTATAACAACATTTACATATCTACTAAATATTTAATGTCACATATATTATTTTGTTATATTATTATTTATATCAACTTTGTTTTACAGCAATCCTATGGAATTTCTTGTACCTCTCTGTGTCATACAAGTGAGAATTTGTGTATGATATGTGAGTATTCAACAATTAGTTGTTCAATAACTAAGAATTAGTGCATGTCCAGTCTTATTAATATTAATTGCCTATGTCCATTTCAATGCAAAAAATATTTTCTACCAACTGCATGCATGCATGCATGCATGCTCAATCACTCAGTCACATTGATTCTGCAACTCATGGACTGTTAACATCCTCCCTTATTAAGGTATCATATGAATATATTATTGAAATCTGTCTTCTGATCATTTCATGATACCTGCACATGATGTTTCATCTTCTACAGAGATCTTATTAATCTTATATTTCAAAAGTGGGCTGCAAAACATGACTATTCATATAAAATTCTATATTCCATCATGTTAGTACCTTTATGGCCCCTCTATAATACTGCCTCATTCCCATAATTCACTGGTTGACACTCTGAGCCCAAAGAGGGTGAATCAATTATTCTCTCTTGATTTCAAAACTGAGACCAAATTGAGAGCATGGCATTGACATATATGCATTACCATGTGTAAAGCAGATGGCTAGTGGGAAGTTGCTGTGTAGCACAGGGAGCTCAGCCTGGTGCTCTGTGATGACCGAGAGCGCTGGGATGGGAGGGAGGGAAGGAGGCTCAAGAGGGAGGGGTATATGCACACATTTAGCTGACTCATGATGTTGTACAGCAGAAGCAAACACAGCACTGTAAAGCAGTTATATTCCAATAAAATAATGAAAAAAAAAACTGAGGCCAAAGTAGGTTTGAAAAGAAACAGTTACAGTCTTAGCAGTGAAGTTGGTTGAGAACTGGTGCAGGAATAAGTAGATCAATGATTGAGTTCTGAGTCTTTCACTCTCTTTTAATGAAATGTCTAAATCTCTCCACCTCTCTGTGCTTCTGTTCCTTCTGGAAAAATGTCTAAATTGCACCTGTAGACTGTACATGGTACCTAAAAGAAGTTTGGAGCTTAACAGATATTTGGTCATTTAAAAAATTTTTTTCAATCAATTTGGTGTACTGCATTTAGCAAAGAAACACAGATCCCAAATTTAATGATATTTCATGGATTATATGGAAAAGAGATTCAGGCATTTCCTGTTTCAGTGATCTGAATAATGGATGACAACAAATCCTAAAATGTGTCTCAACCCATGCATTAACATGTTCTGTCCCTTTCTTTCCTCTTTCCTGACTTGACCCGCCCCCCCCCCGCCCCCCCCCCCCCGCCCCATATTTGTGAAACTTTCTGCAGTGGTTTTCCAATCATTGAAAGCTGCTGATGCTACTCAATGGAAAAATAATAGGCCCCAGAGAAAGTTCATGAGATACACACAAATAAACACAATTTTATCTTGTCTCTGTCCCTTGGGATATTTCTGCAAAGGATGAAAACAGTGGTATGTATGGCTGACTGTGTGGGGACTTTATTGAACTCTCTATTTCCATGCAAAATGGAAGTTTTTATTCAACTCTTAACAGGGCTTTGTAAAAAAAATCTTGGTATCTCCTCTGTGATATTAGGATGTAGGCTCTGATGTATGCAAGCTAAGTTGCTTCAGTTGTGTCTGACTCTGTGCGACTTTATGGACCATAGCCTGCCAGGCTCCTCTGGCCATGGGATTCTCCAGGCAAGAATACTGGAATGGGTTGCCATGCACTTCTCCAGGGGATCTTCCTGACTCAGGGATCGAACCTGCGTCTCTTATGTCTCAAGCTTTGGCAGGCAGGTTCTTTACCATTAGCACCACCTGGGAGGCCCAAGGAAATCAAGTAGGCTCTGGGGAATCAGAAATAAAAGCGCCTCAGTTGTTTTCCTTCATCTATGAAAAACATAAACAAAACCAAATATTCTGTCAGGGATGTAGGAAAAGTATACCATCGGGTCACCAGATATTTAAATCACATGATGTGAAAATTAGCCTTATCATTCAGTTCAGTTCAGTCACTCAGTTGTGTCTGACTCTTTACAACCAATGGACTGCAGCACGCCAGGTCTCCCTTTCAAGCACCAACCTCCAAAATTTACTCAAAATCATGTTCACTGAGTCAGTGATGCCATCCAACCATCTCATCCTCTGAAGTCCTCTTCTCCTGCCTTCAAAATTTCCCAACATCAGGGTCTTTTCCAATGAGTCAGTTCTCCTTTGCCTCAGGTGTCCAAAGAATTGGAGTTTTAGCTTCCAGTGACTATTCAGGACTGATTTCCTTTAGGATGGATTGGGTGGACCTCCTTGCAGTCTAAGGGACTCTCAAGAGTCTTCTCCAACACCACAGTTCAAAAGCATCAATTCTTTGGTGCTCAGCTTTCTTTACAGTCCAACTCTCACATCCATACATGACTACTGGAAAAACCATAGCCTTGTCTAG